AATTAATGGCTTCATAGTCTGCATTTTCTTTTGACAACGAACAAATCCCACAAGGGAATATATTGTCCACGCGCCAAAACACCACGGCAAATAGATAATTTCAACATTGCCAATGATAAAGAATTGTAATGTTTGTTTGTAATTCTTTTCGCCATTCCGTTTCATTCATTCGTTGGTGAATTCATGAAAAAAAAGAGCTCCGAGACATGGTCGCACACAACGCTACTCATGAATCGAGCTCAAAACATTGAGAGACAAAAGACAAGACCATTCCATTCCCATTGTCTAATGTAAACTCCATCAGTGTGAGGTTTTTGATTAATTTTGACTGGCTCAAGCAACAAAATCCTTTGAAATGGAGCTCGCATCGTTGGTAGAAAAAAACGCCGAAACAAAATTATAATTTTCGAAACTCAAATGAGCTAGTTTCACCGACAATTTTTCGAGTCGCAAAACAAGAAAGAACAGTTTCACCCATTTTCAACTTCGTATATAGCTTAAACTGAATAAAACTTTGTAAAACGAGTACCCAAAATGCAACTGTATATGGTTCTGTCAAAATGAAAACACTGACAATGTGCTGAGCGAAAATTGATTTAAATAATATAACCATAAAAAAGGAGCACAGAGAGAGTTGTGTGAATTTTGACAACGATATTTGGAACAAGCAGCTTAAAAATTGTCATTTCATTTTGGCATACGCTACTTTTACTACAAAACAGCTGCTGCTAGTGATGCTGCAAACGAAAACGAATTTGATACGGCCATGTATTTACCGAAATAGAGCTACAACACACAATACGACGAGTATGACGCGTGAGAATTTCAACATCATCAAATATGGTTCCGCAGTTTTTTTTATTGTTCCGATTTTTTTACGACTACTACATAGTACTCGAAATTATGCATCAAAACTAACAAAGCAAACTTGAACATTTTCGAAAATATATCAGAGAGAGAAATATAGCATATGATTCAAAGAAGAAAGGGTGGTAAAAGTGCGTGACAGTTAAGCGGATGAAATGTGGAGGGAGACAGCTAGAGAGAGGAAGAAAGTTGGGAAGAGCGGGAGAAGGGAGAAAAAAAAAAGAGAGAGAGATCGAGAGAGCGAAAAAGGAAGAGAGAGAGAGGAGAGAACGAGAAAAGGAGGGAACAAAAAGGGAAGAGAGACAGAGAGCAGTAGAGAAACTGTGCTAAAGAAACAGTGACAAAAGGCACGATCTCGAAATAGAAAAGTAAAGAGAAAGATGAAAATAGAAATCGAGAAGTACGCGCCAAATGGAAATGCACAAAAATAGTCTACAAAAATGCGAAAAGTGAAGAGACACATAAAACGTAGCGAAACGCAGAAGGAGCAATCATCCCGGATGATGTAATATAAACACATCACATCACATCATATTTTTATTTGTGGCAATGGACCAATATCAGAGTTACGAGTGTTCGAAATGAAATTGCTGGAAAAGCCAAACAACACAAATGTGTCACTCACTCAACTTGCTTCAGAGAAAAAAAGCTTGATTTTGTCGCATTGCCACCATATTGTACTCCGACAAACCGAACCAAGAAATAAACTTATATCGTATTGCCATTGAAATGACAAAGGCGTCGCTTTTTACGACCACTTCACATTCATTCGCGCTACTCTCTCTTTTCCATTCATGCCGCTACAATTCAATGGAATAAACGAGGTTGTAAATTTTATTTCGAAACATCTTTGGCATTTCATCCAAAAAAAGAATCCACCACTTTGTTGCAACCATGGACATTGACCAAAACATTTGACGCTTTCTGGCAAACGAACTTACCATACTAAACTTACTTTGAAGCATGACTAACAAATTTAAACAAATTTTCTATACATCAATGTATCCAATGCAGAAATTGAATATTTTTTCAAGTTCTCCACATATTTCTCTGTTCGATTTCAAAAGCCAAACATATTTTTGCCAAAAAAATCCGCCTAAGTGATTTATGTTGTTTTAGAAGGCGGACGAATTTTCATTATTCCGACTTTGAATTTGAATAAATCAAATAAAATCGGCTTAAATTGTGCGAAAAGTTAGTATTATTTAACAGATGTCAGCGTTCACGGTCTAACTCGATCAACCGATGCGGTATACTGAACTGGTGTAATCTTAATGGAATCGAATTCATCAAATTGTAATTGTGTCTCTTTCCGTCTATCGATTTTTTTTATTTACACGCATTCTGCTGTTTTTGTTATTACATTTGCTGTTCGGGCCGACCTTATCTTCTCTAACCGAGTTATGCGCTATATGTTTTATATGAAAACGTCACACGAATCTCCCCCGAAAACGACATCTTTGGTCTTGCAGCAGAAGCTGTTTCTATGCTGAAAATTTCCTTTCAGTTTAAAAAATTTAAAATATTATTTATGTAGAATTGTACAAATATTTTAAAACTTTGAAATGAGATTTACAGAAATATGCATTTGAAAATTGTTTTAAAAAATAAACACGGTACAGTCAATTTCAAAAATTTCAATGAATAATATTGTTGACATATTTTCACGATGACAGCTATTTTTGCGGTACAAAATTGACCCGTTTGAATGATTTGCATACAATGATTTTTGGATAGAATAGATCCGTAAGATCTCCGCAAGATCCGGATCCAAGCGTACGTACGTAGCCGCATGATACATACATTCCTTACTCCGTATTGCTATGGCATGCGAATCAAAGAAGGGGAAACAAGAATAACGAATTTGCGTGCGTATTATATATGTATGCATCATGCGGCAGCGTACGCACGCTTGGATCTGGATCTTGCGGAGATCTTTCGCATCTATCCTATCTAAAAATCATTGTATGATGATTTGTCAATATTGAACAATTGAACATACTCTACACACATGGGGAAACAGAGATGGCGTTGTCGTAGCATGTAGAAAAATATATGTTTAACGCAATATTCGGCTTATCTTCTCCGTTCGGTTCCGTCTCACATCTTGTTTTAGAAAATGTAGTAATTTGAAATTGTTGTCGTCAGAGTGTAATTTATACGGCCGGCATTAGTGCGAAATGTATGGCAACAGAAAGGAATCGAGTGAATGCATGTGAGGTTCAGCAACGGCATGATTTTAAACAAATAAAGTCGACGCAATAAATAGATGCAAGTGGATGGAATGAGCCACATTAAAATAAGTACGATGGATTGCACAGCCACACAAAGAGCAGAAAGAAAAATTACACGCAGAAGGAACGAGAGAGAGAGAGAAAGAGAAAGATAGAAAGTGCGAGCGTATTTAATGCATGTAAATAATGTTTCTGCGATGAGCTGTTTCGCGTTTCGCATAAGCTGCTTACGTTGTGGATTCAATACAATGAAAAGTTGTAAATTTGTTCACTCTCTGTCTATTTCTGTCTATCTATACCGTCGAGCGTGAGCTACCAAATCCCTTGTACACAGTTCGTCTATATGTGCTTATGCAAATGAATTTGCCACCCATTCCAAATCGCACGCCGAAAACATATTCGCGCTTTGTTTGTTTTATTCCGTCATTCGGTGTATTTATTCAGTATATATTCCACTTTAATTCTCACATTGTCTTATACATGTTCTGGGAGGCTGCGGAAAGACAATGTCTCGATAAGTAAACAAAATGTGCGATGGATGGGGGAGAACGCGTGTTAGCCGTTTGTAATTTCCGTAATATTGGTCGTAAGTAAACCGCTATGCCATTCTTCTTATTACATTCCAAATGTGACTGAAATACCTTGGATCGGCTACTCAATAATATCCACTTGTTTCTAGATTATTTCACTTTATTCGTTCAACTTTTTCACATATTTACACATGTCTTCTCCATATACAGAATATATGATATGCATGAATGCATTTTGCATCAGCTCGAATTCTTTCTATCGCATCAGATACGAGCACTCGATTATCATAAACTTAAACACAACTCGAGAAGTACCTCGAATCAGGGACCAATTTCATGAAACTAAATTATGGTGATGCCACTCGATTTGCATTCGAGGTGAAATGGTGAAACTATACCCTGACATACTCATGCTGAAAGTTTTTCAAAGTCTTTTGCATTCCATGTACTCTTGCTTGAGTTGAAGACTCATAAATGTAAATGGCATGAAAATTCGCTTCGATTCATCATATGACCCAGTTAGATTGAGAGAGATAGAGAGGAGGAGGAGAATGATCTCGGTTCGTCGAGTGGAAAATATGCTTGAAATTGTTTCCAAGCATTTGATTAATTTTGAGAAACGAGCTATGATTGAAAGTAGACCACTAAAGCCACTTTCATCGTAATAATAGTCAACTAAGTGAAGCCAAATTGAATTCGAATTGAGCGTTGCGATAGTTTTGCATATGAAATTTATAAGTTTTTGAGAAGGACAATTTGAGGGAAACTAATGTGCATTTTTTTGGAGCAGGAGAGATGGACTGGAATGGAAAGAAGAGAAAGAAATTGAAACAGAAAGAGAGAGAGGGAGATAAGAAAGAGAGAGAAAGGGAGATAAGAGAAAGAGACAGAGATATGGAGAGATGAAAGAGGAAGACAGATAGCGACATGGCGAAAATGATAGAAAACGACATGCAAAAGAGACGAAGAGGAAAAGAAGATTGAAATAACAACGCAAAATCCATTCAATTCAACATCAACGATAACTTTAAATAACAAAAGAAATGCGATTATATTGACTTTGTTTTCTTTTTCTAGATGTGGAAAAGTCATTTTTGCCAGCAAATATGTGTTCCTCTGCACAAAGGGCATGGCGATGCACACAATAGCATGCAATCCTTCCATGTTGACCATATTTTCTCATTACTTGTGTAAGCTGATGTAATGAACAAATGTACGAACTTCCCAACTTAAAATGACATTCTCTGTGTCTTTCGCTTGGAAAATTGTATTTCGTGTATCATTTTTGCGGTGCACTGACTTATTTATCATTTTCATGTGCATATATTTGATTTTGCCGAGAGATGCATCATTCATTCAGTCAACATACTTTCAAACTGAGTTTATTCATCGGACGCTTTTCGGTTTGTAACGATGATGACGATGTTGTCATCGTCGTCATTCACAAGCCGATTAAATTACGTTTGAATGAAACGTGCAATTTTTAAGTAAACTTGTGCTACAGCTGAATGTATGGAAGCAGAAAAAAAATATGTCGAGGGCAAAGTTGTGATGGAGCAGCGTCTGCTGTTGATGATAGACCCATTTTTTCTGCCACATCCAGCTTGCTCGCACATCATCATTTTTATGGGAAATTCTTTTTATTCAACCCTGGGAATTGGATCCCTTTTTCACAAACGCTTTTTTTATTACGACTCTATTCTCGTAAACACTTCTTTCATTGCGTCGCAATTCGTTCTTTTCTCGATTAAATTACGTTTGCGTGACTGCATTTTTGCCTGTCTTTATTTTTTGGCCAACGCCATTCGAATCCATCAAGTGACCGTCCGGAAATGTGATGTTTATTTTTGTGTATTTAGCTTTTCTGTCTGATGCACGCAGCGACGACGTTAAAGGTGACGCCGTTATTTTTTCTTGGTATTCACTTTGTTTACAGTTCTGGAACTTTATCTTTCAAGCAATCGCTCTTTTTCACACATAATCTCACTGTAGCTCCCATTTTGTCTCTCTTTCTTTCCAATTTTTTTTTTGCTGTCTCGCTTTTATGTCTCTCTTTTCTCATTTTTTTCTCTCTCAATTTTTCTCTATTTCGCTCTATCTCACAGACACTTGTGTGCGTTCTCTAATTCTCGTCCACGCACTCTCCCACGCTTATCGCATGTGATTGATCGCTAGTTATTGAGTTAAGTCTTTGTCGGCCTCTTTACACCGTGATGTTCAACTTTGCTCATGGGATTCCCAAAAAGCCTGAAAAAAGGGTTTATTCGTCAATTTATACACTGATAATTCCTTCTCATTCACTCTCACGGGATAAATCGCACCCATACAGTCATTATTCTTCATGACCTTCGCACAATGGCCACTGAACGCACATAAAATGCACTTAGAACCATAATGTTAACACATTACTTTGTAGACAGCAGCATCGTGTAAATAAATTCAAAATTAGATTTATTCGCAAGATAAACGACACACAATCGATTCAAATTTAAGAATTCTACCCCCATTTTATGAGAGAAAAAACGCAGTATGGCACAGAGGTACCGAGAATTGAATTACATTGGACACATTATTGGCCAAATACGGTTATGGGCCAATTGAACCAATAATCAACACCAATTTGGGATAAGGCTGAGCAATAGCAGTAAACTGCAAGTAAACTCTACATTGCAGAGTTAATTTTGAATACTAAATCCTACAGAAGAAGAGATTTTAATTGAAAACAGACAAAAGACACCATTTTATTTGAAAAATGTGGAAATTTTCAATCTTTTTATTACTTTACACATTTTACTTTCGAGTGGAAAAGATATTTTTGAATAAAATTAAAACAAATTACCGACTTTCTTTAAAAAAAAAAATACTTTTTCCATCGAGTGGCGGAAAAGTGAAATTCGTAAAATTTACAATTCGTTTTAATAAGAAAAGCCATAAAGCACCGCTGATATATAAAAGATGTTTTATTGCATCCAATTTTATCCGTCTTCTCTTCGTATAAAAAAAAATACTTGTATTTTCTTCATATTTCGATCTTGTCAGCTGCAATATTTGAGTCACCTGTAAAATGTGAAAAAAGAGCCGAAACAAAAGCGTTGTGTCTGCGTCGTCTGTAATGTGCATAAAACTGCATACAAAAATGATTGTTATTTACAGGCGGTGTGTTTGTTTTAACTTTTCTCTACTTTGATCGGTGCTTTCTCTCACCATTCCGTCACCCAAAGAGAATTGCTTTGCATACACGCTACCAACTCGTTGACGATGATGGTGCTTTAAAATGTGTGCGCGCCACATGCAACGAATGAAAAATAAATATCAAAAAATAAAACCAACAACTCTGGGAAAATTTATATTTTTAAATTTATCCGCTGGATTGCATATATGGAGAAGCGCGTTATATGGTGTCGTTGCAGTTAAACATTCTCGAATGCCGTGCGAGTCGGCACGCGAAATATTTTCGATTAATGGGCGACTTTCTTTATTCACATTTCTTTTCTTTCCCGGTGTTTATGTGTCATTCAGTAGTGTGCATACGTAAATGTGTGCGACATAAGTAAACGATCTATTTCCGGATGGGTTATCCATAACATGGCATAGCGGGTTCGAAGCGCATAACAATCAGTCAGTGTCATGATGAAGTGAAATTAATTTTTCCACTTTTTCATCATTCCTCCTTCCCCCGTCCATCCATTTCACTCGGGCCGTGTTTCGCTTGTTAAGCCAACGAAGACATTGTTTGCCAGCCCTTCAACGGCACGGGGTATTTTGTTTTATTTTTGCCGCTTGAATGCTTGCTATTTATGCATTTTTTTATTCTTCTATTCAAGTCGCCGTCTTCGCCTTTCCATTAGCAAATAACGAGAATGTTGCCTTAAACTCACTTTGGCATGTTTACATTTTGCAAATGTATTCGGTGCAAGTGTCTTTCGTTCCTGCACTGACAGTCTGACACATGCACACACACTCCAAATGCAAATCGACGCTTAGTCTCGAGCCAGATGCACACAAAACAGAGATCGAACAAAAAAAAAAGGAATGGCATGGAAAAATAGCAATAGAATAAAGTGATCGATGTACACTGCACTTGTAAATGTACCGAAAGTTCGATTTGCTTTAAAATGCATTTTAAAATGGTATTTCTCTCTGAACTGTGCAATAAAAGACAATTTCAAACACTCGATTGGCTTTAAAGCCATGCTCTTCGTCTATTTTTCCCCATTTTTTTTCTCAATTGTTTCTTCCCCCGTTCGTCATCTCCTTTGATTTTCATCGTATTTTCTCTTATTTTATTGTACTTTGCACCCATTCCATTGGTGTTTGGCTCCCTTGCCGCCACCGATTCCCAGGAAACTCGTTCATGTACAGCTTTTCTTGAAATAATTTTGCCTTATTTAAAATAATCGAATGTTTAGTTTTTTTTTGGTTCGCTTCAGTGAAAATGGAGGCGAGTATTCGGCGATGTCGTTTCTTGTGCAAGCTATAGACACAAGGCGGATCGGATCTTATAAATTAAATTATGCTTTTGGTCGTGTGAGTTTTTTTCTATTAACGATAATAAATAGCGGAAATGTGTAATAATCATAAATTATGTACATTTTCTACAATATGGTTTGCGTTTTGTTGCGCACGCCGTGTGCAATGCAAAAGGATGTTAGTTCAATATAGAGAGGGAGAGAGAAAGAGAAAACAAAAACCACATTCACACAACTCGATCGGCAAAGAGTTATGCAATAGAGAAAGCGAACTATGGTACTATTTTGTCTTTTTAGTAACTGAAAGTCAGAGCACTAAACCCCCGTTGAGTAATGTGTTTCAATATTAAACGGTGGTGTTGTGCACTTTTTTTGCTGCTGCTGCTGCCATGCATACTCTATTCGAATCGATACATGTTCAAGACAATAAGAACAACATCAATAAAACACAATTTCTCTCTATTTCCGTCTCATTCACCGCATTGAAGCGCTTCGCGAATTACCAATAATTTAGTTCGATATTAATTTTAAAAACGTAATCAACGGCTTACGTGACGGCAGCACATCGAAAAACCTCTTTGGATTTATGTGAAGACACTCATTCTCTTTAGCACTTCGACGGCGTGCGAAATTCTTTATGGTTTTTCATTAAGTTTTCATCGTAACGCAGAAAATTTAATCCGAACGAAAAATCGATATTTCAATACAACAACAACAAAAAAAATGCAATATTAATGAATTTTTCGCAAAAACCTCCCCTCCCGTACAGTTTTGCATCCATGTTAATTAATTTGGAAAACGTGTGTGTATGTTACTCTCAACATTCCATAAATTCTAAACACTTGAAATTCTTCTTCATCTTTTCTCGGTTCTGGTGGCATTTTGACTCACGACGAAGCGATTCCTTCTTGATTCCAAACTTGAATTGGTGGCATTGCATGTGAAAGTGTGTGAAAATTCAAGTTGAACGCTGCCATAAGCCAGTACAATTTAAACTCACTGAATTTCAATTCAAGTCGGTGTGCATCTTTTTCGAGTAAAAATCGCTTTCAAGGGATTTGCTCGTTTTGGCAAGCAAAAAGAACATGAATATACGACATTTGCTCACCACTTGACGTTTTCACTCTCTCTATCTCTCTCATACACTGAACAATCAACAAACAGATTAAATCGAGCACCAAATAAGAGCGTCGTGATGATTAAAATGCGATTTTTTCACCCAGCATTCGCTGCATCTATCTTTCTCTACATCTCGTACAGCATTCTGAATCAATTCAACGGAAATTCGCTTTCATCGAGCCAATTTCGGCTTGACTTTTGTTCTTATTTAGTTTCATAGTAAGACGATTAGAAGCCAAACACCAACAAAGAACGAACCAATTGGGTTTTTATCGTTGTTTGTACATTCACCACAAAATTCCGCACAAAATTGAGCGAATTTGTGCAAAAGTTAAAAGTAAAGGGCTTTGAGAGGAAAAAAATATGATTAAGTATGATGAGTCAAGAGCAAGTGGAGTTAAGTGAGAAATAGATGGAAAAAAATTTAAAGAGCGCCCATGGAAGAAATAGAATAAGAGAGAGAGAGAAATATCAAAGAAGCCTCAACAAGAAATAGTTAGATAGAGAGAGGGTGAGAGAATATAGAGAAGATAAAAATAGAAAAAGATAGAGAAATGAGATGGGGAAAGTGACTAAAAGATGATTGCAAAAGACCAGTGTGTGTATGTATTTTGTTGCAAATCGAGTGTGATTGAAGTAATCAAAGCGAAAATGTTAATCAACGAAAGTGACGAGTTCAAGTTGATTAAATCCATTTTGATGCAGTTCATTGTCGCATTGCATTGTATGACGCAAAAATGAACCGAACCAATTTCTGTCTCTCTCCATCTCTCTCACATTTTTCGACATTTAAGCACACTGTTTTCGTTGTATCATGTGACTTTTTTTTGCGTATTTTTGTTTG